TCCAGCCACCTCATTCTCTGTTGTCCCATTCTTCTATTGCCCTCAATCTTTCCCAGCATTTGGTCTTTTTCCAGCGAGTCCTTCCTTCTCATTAGGTGGCCAAAGTATTTGAGTTTCAACTTCAGGATCTGGCCTTCTAAAGAGCAGTCAGGGTTGATCTCTTCTAGGACTGACCGGTTTGAATGCCTTGCAGTCCAAGGGACTCGCAGGAGTCTTCTTCAGCACCATAGTTCAAAGGCCTCAATTTTTTGTCGCTCAGCCTTTCTTATGGTCCAACTTTCTCATCCATACATTGCAATTGGGAAAACCATGGCCTTGACTATATGCACTTTTGTTGGCAGGGTGATGTCTCTGCTTTTTAGTATGCTGTCTAGATTTGCCATAAGCTTTCCTCCCAGGAACAAGCGTCTTTTAATTTCTTGGCTGCAGTCCCCATCTGCGGTGATCTTGGAGCCGAGAAAAATAAAATCTGTCACTACCTCCATTTCTTCCCCATCTATTTGCCAGGAATTGAGTGGGCTGGATGCCATGATTTTGGTTTTCTTAATATTGAGTTTCAAGCCTACTTTTGCACTCTCCTTCTTCACCCGCATCAAGAGGCTCTTTAGTTCCTCTTCACTTTCTGCCATTAGAGTGGTATCATCTGCATATCTTAGGTTGTTGATATTTCTCCCGGCAATCTTAATTCCAACTTTTGATTCATCTAGCCCTGCCTTTCTCATGATGTGCTCTGCATATAAGTTAAATAGGCAGGGTGACAGTATACAGCCTTGCCGGACTCCTTTTCCAATTTTGAACCAATCAGTGGTTCCGTGTCCAGTTCTCACTGTTGCTTCTTGACCCGCATATAGGTTTCTCAAGAGACAAATAAGATGGTCTGGTATTCCCATCTCTTTAAGAACTTGCCACAATTTGTTGTGATCCACACAATCAAAGGCTTTAGCATAGTCAATGAAGCAGAAGTAGATGTTTTTCTGGAACTCCCTAGCTTTCTCCATGATCCAGCGTATGTTGGCAATTTGATCTCTAGTTCCTCTGCCTCTTCGAAATCCTGCCTGTACTTCTGGTAGTTCTCGATCCACATACTGCTGGAGTCTAGCTTGTAGGATTTTAAGCATAACTTTACTAGCATGTGAAATGAGTGCAATGGTGCGATAGTTTGAACATTCTTTGGCATTGCCTTTCTTTGGAATTGGAATGTAAACTGACCTTTTCCAATCCTGTGGCCACTGTTGAGTTTTCCAAATTTGCTGGCAAATTGAGTGTAGCACTTTTACTGCATCGTCTTTTAAGATTTTGAATAGCTCAGCTGGAATACTGTCACCTCCACTAGCTTTGTTGTTGCTCAGATTTTCTAAGGCCCATTTCACTTCACATTCTAGGATGTCTGGTTTGAGGTCAGTGACTACCCCATCATGGTTATGTGGGATGTTAAGCTCGTTCTTGTATAGTTCTTCTGTGTATTTATCAAATAAAGGTGGCCAATTCATGAAAATTATAAAATAAAATCAGCTTTTAGATCCTTATGTTTCTCCATCAAAATTAAAAAAGAAAAATATATTCCACGCTTCCTTACTTTAATTCACCTCTGTTAGCTTTCCTCCACATTGTTCAACAATAACAATGTCCCCAAAATGGTGCAGATTGTCAACTGTCCAGTTGGCGGATCCAGAAAAAGAAACTCCTGGGATCTTATTTTACCATGAGTATAAACTTGACTGAATGAACCGTATTGACACAGATGAAGTGAAACCCACTCTGGGTTTACCACACAAAAGCTAGCATAGTAAATCCCCCCCCCTTTCCCTGTGGACCACCCACAATTCATTACGTCTACCAATCACTTCTGTTCATTGTGTTATGGGAAACCAGTGAGCCATGTTAGTCCCCCTGCTCAATGTGTCCTTGGGTTGGGCATGCTCTCACGAGAACAATGCTCAGATGCAACTGTCCCCACCCTTGCATTCCATCCCCCCTCCCCCTTTTCTTTGTCAAGCTGCCAGCAAAGCGGAATATAGGTGAAAGTGTAAATCAGTCTTGACAGATCTTCCAAAAGGAGTAATAAGTTGTGACTGAAAGGAGTCTCGGTTAGCAAATGTAGTAAACTAATACAGTGTCTAAAAGGGAACAACATTGTCCACTTGAAAAATAAATTCTAAAATGACTGCTTTTTCACAACAGAGTAACAGCACCCAGCTAAATAGCTCACTTGGTTACTTTGAAGTGCTGCTCCAGAGTCTCCTTGCAGACCACTGCTGTATGGAGGATCTTGTGGGGTGATTATGAGGCTCTCCTCAACCCAGGAGACTGATATAAACTTATAGAACTCAGTTCCTTATTTTGTAAAATTGAAAAAGCTTTGGTCTGGAAAGAACTTTCTGGACTGGTCAGTTAGCCATCTTGACTCGAAGCCAGTTCAAAGAATTTTCAAAGATAGGCAGTGTCATATTCTGGCTGAAAAGCCCAACCAAGCAAAACACTAGAGGTATGATGAACTCTAAGGTTAACTTTATTAGTCATAAAACAATCCGGCAAGCTTGAAGAAAAGCTAACTCTGAAACTATGACAGGAAACAGATAATTAAAAGAGTAAAACTTTCTCTCCCCTTTCTGACAGTTCAGGTCACATTGTCCAATATATTATCCAGTAATTGTTATGAGAAAAAACTTTAGTTGCTAAAACAACTCTTCAGCTCTCACATTAATAAGGAACACTTGTGGATTCAAAAATTTTCCCTTTCCCCTTCCCACACTGTTGGCAAACTAGAAGCATGCACAGGTCCTAAAGATAATAGGCTTCACAGCTTGACAGGGAGTATAAAAGATAATGTATCCAGGAGCTGATCAATGTGTGAGTATCTATGAGTAGGTTTTCTTTATCTAAAAACACTCATGAGAGAGGCTAGAGGGAATTGTTGCAAAATATGGCAAAATAATGTGATTAGCCCAGCTATGTTTCCTTAAAAAATACTGATTTATCATGTAGGATAGTTGTGAATATAAGCAATAAAAGGCCTAAATCATTTTACAGACTTTATTTACTATTTAACTAATAATATCTCAGAATTGTGAAACCAGAGAACATATCTATGGAACTTAAAAGAGTCATGTTAAGGTACATGGGTACACAGACAGCCATAATTTGTTACTGAAATATGAGAGCAATGTTCTTGGCTTCAAAATATATGCACATCTTACAAAAAATGGTTAAATATTTTTCATTCTAATCAGACACCCAAATGAAGAAAAATATTGATCTCTTTGGATTGAGAATCAAGCAATTTCTACCAGATTATTGGCTGTCAGAGAAGTTGTTGAATGCCTATTTGAAATGGGATTTGTAGAGGTACTGTAGGTACCTTGAAATTGCCATGTAGAAGTATTTTACTTGATTTTTTTGAAACATCTTATTATTCTCATCCACTACAATGAAGGTATTTTGCTTCTAGTTTGGTCTTTATGTGCTAAGGTAAACTTAACCATTTTTTAAGATTGCCAACATCTATCCTTCTGGTGAAAAACATGTATGCCATATTCAATCATTCTAGATTGTATTATAATTTGTATATACACATACAAGCTAGTCATGGCCTGTTTGTGAGCCACTTGGGACTTTAGACTTTCTGCTAACTTCCCCATTGATTTTGCTTGTTGGAAACTGGCAGGAGATCACAAATAACAGTCACATGAAATCCTTGCTTAACCATTGATTCTTGCTGAAAGATGGCAACAATGATTGCTGGGATTGTCATCACTAAGTGATGTGGTCTCATGAGTTTTAGTTTATGATCACGTCATTTAATGAAATTAGAAATGGAAATTCCAATTCCAATTGTCATTATAGAGCAAGACTACCTATAGTTGGCAAGAATATTTTTTATTTATGCATTTCTTTTACCAGGTTAGAAGAGATGGTATAATTCAGAACAAAATTATTTTTAATATAGATGATTTTGCTTTTGTGATTGTAATTTCAGGGGGAAATTCATCTTACTTTTCCTAAGGAGGCATCAATTTAGCAGCTATGCAGAATTTGAAATCTAATTGCTGAAGGAAAGAGTAGCTGAATAAATGAATCAGATCAAATGAGATCAGGATCCTCTGGAAAGATACACAGCCTTCTGCTCTTCAGTCAACGCATACTACTGATACCAAATTAGACACAGATATTCAGTCTGCTGTCATGGTAACCTATTTTAAAGTTTGTTACATTGAACATTAATAATATTTGAAATTGGGAATGTAAATTAAAGACTTAAACAACAGTGTGAAATGGAAATGTAATTCATATGGCAATTCCTAGAAATATTACTTTCTGTGCTTATATAAAATTTAGATAGATAGATAGATAGATAGATAGATAGATAGATAGATAGATAGATAAACTTTATATAAGTGTTTAGTCTCCAAGCATCAGCCCAACGAAGTATGATTGCAAACATATTATATAGTATGAAAATAAAATTTATAGTGAATTTAAGGTCATTTGCATGATATTTTATAAAATATTTGCAAACCATGCTGAAATTATTTTTATGTTCTGCCTATATAATCATGCTGAGTATTATGTGAGTATTTGGAAATTTATTTTGAAGATGACTTGATCATATTGATGCTTTCAATCTCTGAATAAGTTAGAGCTTCCAAATTGGGTGAATGATCTAGTCGGCAATTTGGATTAGTGGATATATCTGGATCATATGTGCCCCTCCCTATGTTTTATATAGAAACATGTAATTATGTGTAGTGTTACCTCTTCAGAGGCCGCCAAAACCCAGGCCCTCCCAGCCCTGCCCCCCTTAGTCAAGCTCTGCCACTTTATTCTCTAGGGGTTGGTAAGATATCTTCAGGCAGAGTTAGGAAGTAATAGGCTCTTGTCACCAAGAAGGGACTTCCGGGAACAAAGATGTCCAGCCCCCCCCCCAGCCCCAATAGTCAATGCTGTGACAGTATCCAACCCGCCAAGGCTGTTGTAGCAGCAATAGTTAATGAATCCTCAACGACCTTTCAAGATCAAGTGGGGTGGAAGAAAACCCAGCTCCAGGCAGTAGTAGAAACAAAAGCAGTCAGCGTGCTATATAATGGCTTGCCCCTCCCCACAAAATCTAAAACTTGTACAAGCAGCAGTTGTCACAATCCAGGTAGCCTCCAGGCTTCACAGCAACAGTAGCTACAACCAGTCTCTTCTCTTCTTCTGTTGCTTCTTCTCAGTCAGGTCTTGGCATCAAAACCCTCCCCCCTTATTTTTATTGTTGAAAGTCCCAGGCTAACAATCCCAGCCACTTCCTTTCCACACACTCTCTTTCGCCTCCGTTTGAAATATCCTTCTCACGAAGGAAAGCAATAAAATTCCACTCCCTCTCTCTTACTCTCTCTTGCCTCTGTTTGAAATATCCTTCTGACGAAGGAAAGCAATAAAATTCCACTCCTTCTCTCTCACTCTCTCTTGCCTCCATTTGAAATATCTTTCTCACTAAGAAAACAATAAAATTCTACTCCCTCTCTCTCTTTCTCTCTCCCATTCCTCCACATGAAGGGGTCAGCTTAAAACCTCCAATCCCTCTTTATTTTCAGCTGACGAACTCCAACAGCCACCCCTTCCCTTTCCTTCCTTCCCTTTTTCTATCCTTTCCCTTCATCCATCCCTACCACACCCAAAACCAGCAACAGGTGTCCCAATTTCTCCCTTCCCAGCCAAACTCCTGCAAACACTCTAAGACAGCCCCGCTACACACTCCCCCCACCTAAACAGTTTCTTTGGTCCCCCAAAGAATAGAGAACCTTTCTACTCACCATTTATATTATTAAGGGGCGAATGTCACTCTTTCTCTATGCTGTGTCCTAGGGCATCATATGTTAGTCTCTTCACCGGGCGTATCACTCGCCTCAATCTCTGCACTTTAGGCTCAACAGCATCATGGGCGCCATCCTCTAGTGGCTCCCCATCCCCGGAAGTACCCGGAACTAGCAACTCTTCCTCTAACACTGGTGACTGCAGACCCCATGAAGTAACCTGATCCACCTCCAACAATTCCCCTGGCTCTGCAATCTCTGAGGGCAACAATCCATCCTGTCCTGATCATTCCCCAGACTGATCCCTGGCCGCAAATCTCTGGGGAGTCCCCTCGTGTTCACAAGCTTTAGGCATAGGTTCTGAACATCAAGCCCTGACTGTTCTAACTCCACCTCACCACCCACAATCCCCATATCCCCTGATAATCATAACCGACCTATGTCGCCCTCTTCTTCCTCAGAATCCTCCGCTTCCCTCTCTATAGACAAGACAGGTTTTTCCCTGGTTTCCATTCCCCTTTCCACCACACGGGGCTCATCTTCGGGAACTAGCTGGGTAGCTCGTACTGCCTCGTGCAAGGGCAATAAATGGTTCCGGTACCACGCTTTCGAAGGTCCTGTGCTTCCCTCTGGCCATATCCAGTATACGGGCAATCCCGGCAGTTTTTCACTAACCACATACAACCAGGAGCCCCACTGATCGGCTAATTTCTGCTTCCCAGCGGGGCCCAGATTTCTTAATAGCACCTGATCCCCCAACTGTAAATCCTGGACCCTTACTCTTTAGATCGTAATTTCTCTGGTTCTGCCGTTCCCGAACCCCTGCGGCCTCTGCAGCTTTTTCATAAGCTCCCTTTAAACTCTTCCTGTCCACATAATTACGATAGGACTTAAAAGAGATCTCATCCATTGAGGTACCAAAAGCTAGATCTACCAGCAGGCGGGTTTCCCTGCCAAACATTAGCCAGTACAGGGAATACCCGGTAGTGTCACTTCTCGTGATGTTATAGGCGCGCACGACGGCAGAGATATGTTCTGTCCAATGATGTTTCTGCTCCTCCGTAAGGGTCCCCAACATGTCCAAGAGAGTGCGATTAAATCTCTCAGGCTGCGGGTCCCCCTGTGGGTGATACGGGGTGGTACAGGACTTCTGAATACCCAACTAGCCCAGCAGATGTTTTACAAGCCTACTTTCAAAATCCCTCCCTTGGTCAGAATGTATGCGCTGAGGCAGCCCATAATGCATAAAAAATTTCTCCACTACCTTGGCCATTGTAACAGCGTGCTGATCTCTTGTTGGGAAGGCCTGAGCATAGAGGGTAAAATGATCGGTCACGACCAACACATTTCCTTGTCCACTTGCATCCAGTTCCAGGGAAAGGAAATCGATGCAAACCAAGTCCAAGGTTCCATAACTCTGTAAATGGCCCATTGACGCAGTTCTTGATGGTAGAGTTTTTCTCTGAATACAATGCAGACAAGATCTGCAATAATCCCCTTCTTCATGCAGGGCCAACAGAACCGATCCATTCAAAAGTCTTTTCCGGCCCCAAATGCCCATGCTCGTCATGAAGTGCAGTCAACACTGCTCTTCTGTGTTTCTCTGGAAGCAAAAGCTGCCACCTTTCTTTGAGCCCATCTGAGAGGCCCCTCTGATAGATTACTCCATCACGAAGCTGCAGACGACCCCACTCCTTGTACAGCACTCATACTCTTCTGGGCGCATCGATGAGTAAAACCTCCTGCTGACCGCTTCTCAAAGCTCTTCCAACCAAGCCACAGAGGGGTCTTCCATCTGGTCCCTCCACAGATCTTTCTCAGTCAAGGCAAACCTACCCTCCCCTCTAACCTGAATAGGATTGGAGTATAATTTGAGGACACCTGCAATGGTAACCCCCACTGATTCAGCCCCAATTGCTCCCCTAGCTCAATGCTCAACCCCTCGATACAGCGCTTGAATACCATCAGGGGACAATTGTACCCACTCTCTAGTGCCTGTCCCTGAATCTTGGGGCCTCCTTGACAAAGCATCTGCATCGATGTTCCCCACCCCTGGGCAATACTTCAAACTGAACCTAAACCCAGAAAGGGTAGCTAACCATCGATGCCCCATGGCATCCAGTTTAGCAGTAGTAAGCAAGTATGTAAGTGGATTATTATCCATTTTGACCTCAAACTCTGCCCCATACAGATAATCCCTCAACTTATCCACCACCGCCCACTTGAGTGCCAAAAATTCAAGCTTATGGGTGGGATAGTTCTTTTCCCCAAGAGTTAAACCCCTATTGATATATGCAATGGGCTTCAAACATTAATCATGCTCCTGATATAAAACTTCCCCAAGACCATCCCGACTGGCGTCTACATGTAGTTCATATGGTTGATTGGGGTCGGCATAAGCTAAGACTGGGGTGTTTGTAAGCCTCCTCTTCAGCTGATCAAAGGCCTGCTCATAATGCTCAGTCCATTCTGCCTGAATAGATTCCCGTGACTTCCTGGGCCCCCTCGTTTTATGGGTTGGATTCGAACGACCCACTGCATCATCTACCCCCTCATTTTTTAACAACTCATTAAGCGAGCGAGCTATCTTAGCAAACCCTTCCACAAACCTCTGATAGTATGAACAAAATCCCAGAAACAATCGCAATTTAGCAACACTCTGGGGCCTGGGCTAAGAAACCATGGCCTCAAGCTTAGCGGGGTCCGTTGCCACCCCCTTGGCTGAAACGACATGCTCTAAATAGGTGACAGATGAGTGATAAAATTTCTCTAACGACAATTTCAGGCCTTCCTTCTGGAGCCTATCAATACCTTCTCTAGACGTTCTTTATGCTGCTCAAGTGTCTCCCCAAAAACAATAATGTCGTTCAAATAGACCAACACCTCTATCAGGTTCATGTCCCCCACTGTCCGTTCCATATGCCTTTGAAAGGTTGTTGAGGCCCCTGACAAACCCTGCGTCATTCGATTGAATTCATAAAACCCCAATGGGCAGATGAGCGCAATTTTCTCCCTATCCTCCGGATGCATGGGGATCTGATGGGAACCACTCCTTAAATCCAGCACACTAAACCACTTTGCCCCTGACAAACACTGCAAAGCATCCTCTGTCAGAGGAGTTATATAATGGTCAGGGATGGTTCTCCAGTTAAGGGTATGATAATCTATACACATCCTTAGGGTCCCGTTCTTCTTTCGGATCACCACTATAGGGGAAGCATAAGGACTTCGGGATTCCCTAATGACCCCAGTCCTTTTTAACTCTGCCAGATGCTCCCTAAGATCATCTAGGTCACTTAAGGGAATTCGCCGAGATCTCTCCCTAAAGGGTTTATCTTCCCTCAATCGGATTTCATGTTTGGCATTCCTAGCACAGCCCACATCAAAATTGTCTCGCAAGAATAAATGTCTCCACTTCCAAAGCTGGTCTCTCGCTCTCTCTCACCACTCAAGAGGAAGCTGGGTATTCTAGGATAAAACTGATCCATCGAGACCTCTCCCTCCATCTCTCCCTTACCATCCAGAGACTCAATTGGGGTAGCTGGGCTCACCTGCCCCAACAACATCCGATTCCTCAATCGTACCAGGAGGCCTGTGATATTCCAAACTCCAACTGAGATCCGCCCCTTTCCCTGTTGCAACACCTGCGTGGAGATTACCTCTGGAATTAATTTCACTCCACCATTCTGTCCCTTTGTCCCAGCAGCCCAGGCTGCTCCCAATCTAACGTAACAAAAGCCCTCAAGCACACCACTTCCCCTGGTTGTATTACCCTCTTTTTCCTATCCAATTTCCATAACCGCCCCACTTCCTCTGCAGGGGCCTGCTGCTCCTGCCAAACCCTGACATACAGTCCGCAGCGCAGGATGAACATCCCTCACTAACGAGTCATTCCCTAATGGAATGACTGGGGTGAGTAACCACCTGACTAAACTGGTATTAGTCCCCACAATCAATGAACCCTAGCTAACTCCCGGGGGGTGAGTACACACGATAGCCAAAGTATCCAAAGTCTCCGTATACCCAGCAACAGAGGGCCCAAACGTCAATTGTATAGGCAAACATCCATAATAGGAGAATCTTTCAGTACCAATACCACAGATCTTCAAATCACCCAACTCTGTATGGGCATATATGTCAAATACTTATCATAAAAATCCCTATATAAAAACGTCACCTGTGCACCTGAATCCAAAAGGGCCTTAGTATAAATAAATACCTTCCACCTGTACCGACACCACAGGAGAGGGGCCCACCAGCTGCTGAGGAGCCATGGCTTTGGCCTCTGTCAATTCAAGGGGATGGGGGTTTCTTATCAGAGGGGATACTCCCATTACCCTCATTTTTGCCGAGGATTTCCAAGGGGACCCTCTTTTGTCGGAGCTAACTGATATGGCCGGGCACCCAGCTAGCTCCTTCACTAGGGCCCTTTGGCAGTTTCCCAACTGCACTGGGTTCTCTGATCTTCTATATGGTTTTGAACATGCACACTTATAATACCCCATGCCCCCATAATTATAACAGACCACTGATCTCATTGGATTATTATCCCAGATCGGCGGACCCAAATTTCTCCCATCAGTTGTTCCAACCCGGCCTCCAGGGGTGGGCCATCCACAGTTGACCAAGAGGCTATCATCTTGGTTAACTCCAGTATCTCGGTTTGCATCGTTGTTATCCGGTTATCCTCTTCTCTTACCTTTCTCATTCCTGGGCCTAAGGGCCGTCCTACCGACAATTCAGCTGGCATCTCCTTAGCCCCCTCCACAACCTCCATTGCCCGTACTCTCCTTATAGGCTCGTGATATCCCCAGGCATTCCCTCTAGCTTTGACCTTTATTTGGCTCCGGACAGGGTCTGAAGCCAAAGCACCCCAGGAGAGTTGTTCTATCCTGGCCTGTTCCACCCCAGCTGGATCCAATCCCCCCTTCTCCACTACCTGATATAATAATCTATTTAGGCACCTTATATATTCGGACAGCTTCTCACCCCTCTTCTGGTACATATGTTCCAACCGGAACAATAAACTAAAGACCGTCTCAACAGACCCGAACTCATCATGCAGCAAAGAGAGGTAGTCACGTACAGTAAACTGCCCCCGACTCAGTGTTAAACTTCTAATGGCCTCTGCTGCAGGGCCCTTTAAACTTTCTCTAACCCGTTGTCTTTTCTGGGTATCCGGTATATCCCATTCCTCAACTTTTATGGCCTGTTCCATCCAAGCTTCATATTTCTCTTCTCCCTCTGGCACCAGTTGCATCCCCCCCAAAATAGGTAATTTCCTATATCCAGCCCCTATACAGTAACCCCCAGTCCGTTTTTGGGCGGAAGTCAAACTTCTCCCCACCTGTGTAAACCCTACTTCTGCTATCCCTGCAGGTGGGGAGACACACTTCTCTTTCTTCTGGCCTAGTAGTTTGGTCAAAGATGTGTCCCATGTAACAGGGAAAATCACCCCCATCCTGGCATCTTCTGTCAGTTGCAAACTCTGAATCTGAAAGCACTCTGGGACACTCTTTTTCTATTCCAGCAGTACATAAAAATAGGGGGAATCCCTATCCACCCTCGTATCTACCACATATACCACATATACCAGACAAAAACCCTCCATGTCTGTAGAATTTGCTCCTCTGACCAAACATCACCAGGAACCTTGATTATTACGCTTATCCTTACTTCACTATTCTGCTCCTCACACCACCTGGTGGCCGCACTAGAGTCCATATTGTTCTCCTGGCTCATATCCTCACACAAGACTAACCTTTCCTTACTAAGGGGATATGCCAGGCAGGAAATCCCGGACGAGCCCCCATGTGTAGCGTTACCTCCACAGAGGCCACCAAAGCCTAGGCCCTCCCAGCCCCCCTTAGTCAAGCTCTGCCACTGTATTCTCTAGGGGTTGGTAAGGTATCTCTTCTAACCGGAGCTTCATGCAGAGTTCGGAAGTAGCAGACTCTTGTCACTAAGAAGGGGTTTCCAGGAACAAAGATGGCCAGCCCCCTGTCCCAGCCCCAATAGTCAATGCTGTGATGGTATCCAACCGGCCAAGGCTGTTGTAGCAGCAATAGTTAATGAATCCTCAATGACCGTTCAAGATCAAGTGGGGTGGATGAAAACCCTGGCTCCAGGCAGTAGTAGAAACAAAAGCAGTCAGCGTGCTATAGTAATGGTTTCCTCCCCCCACAGTAGTCACAGTCCAGATAGCCTCCAGGCTTCACAGCAACAGTAGCTACGACCAATCTTTTTTCTTCTTTTGTTGTTTCTTCTCAGTCAGGTCTCGGTGTCAAAACCCTCCCCCCTTATCTTTATTGTTAAAAGTCCCAGGCTAACAGCCCCAGCCACTTCCTTTCCACACACACTCTCTCGCCTCCGTTTGAGATATCCTTCTGACGAAGGAAAGCAATAAAATTCTACTCTCTCTCTCTTTCTCTCTCCCCTTCCTCCACATGAAGGGGTCAGCTTAAAACCTCCAATCCCTCTTTACCTTCAGCTGACGAACTCCAACAACCACCCCTTCCCTTTCCTTCCTTCCCTTTTTCTATCCTTTCCCTTCATCCACCCCTGCCACACCCAAAACCAGCAGTAGCTGTCCCAATCTCTCCCTTCCCAGTCAAACTCCTGCAAACACTCTAAGACAGCCCCGCTACACATGAATTCATTAAAAATTTATACGTAACCTTTGACATCTGGTAAATATTAATATTTCTGATTATTCAAAGATATACATTATTCTAAAAGTACACTAGATCAAAAATTTGTCTGTGTTAAAGTGTGAAGATTGTGGCAATCTGAGTCTGAATTCCATTTCCTTTCCTCATAAAATACCTTAGGAGACTGTGTAGAGAACAATTGATAAAGAAAAGAGGATGGGTACTTTATTTTTCTCACGAAAAGATACTGTAACATCATATTTTGGACAGTTAGTTATTAGATTCAATGTACTGTCATAAATATATCTACCATGCTTTACAATGTCTTCTAAAATAAATCCTGAGAAATATCAGAAAGCAGCAAGTGATCCATTGTCAGGTATGAATAGGCCAGCCAGTATTCCTTCAAAATCTCTGAGGAGCTTAGAGGCTGAACAAAAGAACATTTTGTAAAAAAAATGACATACATACATACATTTTCATAATCCCATATTTGGGGGTACTCTGACTCTCTCAGTGACTGATTGCAAAAGTCTGCATAATTGCTTGAGATTGTTTATTGCACTAGAAATTAATTTATTGCTTTTAGATCTGGATATATTCTGCTTATTTATTTATATATATATATCAATAGAAAAGAACATTTGTAGCTCAAGGCTGAACTACTATTTCATTACCAAACAAATAATATCATCTGAGACCAAGAAACTGGCACTAAAGAACATTCTAATCAAGGAACCATCAAGACCACTCCCATCAACATTGACAGGGCAAGCCACTAGTATATAAAATAAGAGCAAATCCCACTGCCTATTAGCATGGATAATGTTACCTAGTTTGGTTATGAAACATCTGAGCTCAGAGAGTTATCAAGCACTCTGCAATTCTTCTATATTCTGCCCTGGAATCTGATGTTAGTTGGCATAAATGTATAAATTTGTAATGGTTGCTAATATTATTTCTATTCCTAAGTCATGCCATGTTTTAAAAAAACACACCCAAGTATTTTACATTATATACTGATTTTGAACAACAGGAATATTTATGCTTGAATAGCTTGTTTGAACTTGTTTTATTTAAGTATGTGAAGAAACCTCTAATAAAAGTGCAAACATTCTTTTTGAGACATTTCAAACAGCATTTTTAAAACCATTGATCCCCAAATATATTAGGACCATAACTTCCAATATCCCCAAACAGCTTTAAATATAAATCGTTAGAATATATCTGGAGAGTCATCAATATATCTGGAGAGTCATTAAGAACATTTATGTAGAAGAATAAATTTATCTGAGGTTCCTAGACATTCTGTTTAAAACAATTGAAATGAGAATATTTTTTTTTCTTCGTCTTAGACAACTGAATCAATTTTCTTGAAGACACTTGAGTCAAATTTTCTGCACGTAATGGTATATGAAAATCCAGTTTTACAAAAGAAAGCTTTGGCTTGTATTCCACTCCAAAATCTGAAAAAGCAAGCTCAGAAAAAATTAACACAAGCCCAAAAACTGGACAGAGGTAATATCTGAATAGTTTTAAAACCTGACAGTATCAAACAAAACATTACTATATAAATGCATTCATCTGTTAACAAACAAAATTGTCACAGGAGCTGTATTTTGGAATAGCTTTAGAGATTATAAAGCTGTATATTTTTATCTGTGTGTAAGAATTGTAGCTCTGTATTTATGCAATCTGAAACAAAGATAGTTTAGAGGATTATGCAATTATTTCCACTACACTTGTTATGATTCTATTAAAGATGGTCATTTTTGTCCCTGATTTATATTTATCTAGTACAGCAAATATTTTTAATTTATTTACAAATAATTCTGATAAGTTATATTGGAAGTATTTTTTTTTTTTTTTTTTTGGTACCGGGTATCTTCAGATTAACTGCCATAATGTTGCATCTCAGGGTAGAAAAAACCCCAATTTAAATAAGACTTGGTTGAAGTTCTAAATTGAGAACTTGAATGTAAGTATTTAAGATCTGTCATCCTATTGATTCTATGTTGATTATGGCAGTGAAGATGTTTTGATATTTATGTATAGAATGCTAATATTTCCAATTTCCTGACTCATTTCTTTCAGTATCCAAGACCTTTAAAGTTACTGTATTTGTTTTCAGTAAGTCAGTAAGGAACAAGCCATGTGTGTCTTAGATTCAAATGCCCAATTAATATCTCCCTAAAATATAAGAATATTATAGAAGCTATATCACATTTGATATAAAGTTACTATTTCTTGGTGCTCCTTCAAAATTATTTTCATTTTAATTCTGTGTAATTCCTGAAATAGTTATTCCAATTTGATGTCTAGATGCCTGTTTTAATTTTAATTCTTTTTTAAATGTGTAGATTGTATTCTGAGAGAAGAGGATATTCTTCTGGTGGAGCTCATCAACTGGTTTAAATGTAGTTTTTTTAAGTGGGTAGATAGCCTACCATGTAGCAAATGTGGGGGACAGACAGAAACTAAAGATAATTTGTCACCTAACGAGGATGACCTGAGATGGGATGCAAGTAGAGTTGAAAATCATTTCTGTAACCAATGCAAGTTCAGCAACAGGTTCCCAAGGTGAGTTTAGTAAATTGTTTTAACAATTGAGTTTGTATTAGACATTACTAATTTAGTATATTGATCTCATTTATATTTCAATCTGCATAATTGGGAATTCCATATATAATGCAAGCTCACAACAACCATTAGTTGCTCTTTGCTATCACTTAGAGTAGAATGTATGCCTTACCTTCTTTCTGATTTCTTTTTAAATTATATTGGTGAGCAAAGGAAGATTGTCGTTCAGATTTTCAAGATTTACTACAAAATCTGGAGTTGAGCAGCAGTGCTATTAATAAATTTAAAATATTAAAATATCAGTCCAAGTTTTGTAGGTTTTATTTTAATCAGAAATCTAGTAATAGGACTTTATACATCTGGGTTTATTCAGATAATTATTCAGAAAATGTTTATTTAAGTCATTAAGTGTTTTTTGGGGGGTTCCACATGACACAAAAGAAACAGTAATAAGAGAGAAAAATAAGCAAATTAAAGTACCATGATGACTGTCTAAAAGAACTCTTGGATGTAATAATTCAAAAGACAAATTTCAATATAATAATATATGACCTATTATTAATTTCTACCTACTGATAGTTATGGGGAAACTTTTAAGATAATTGCATTATTTTGGTTCTTATAGTAATAACTGAAAACTTCATATTTAAAAAAATTATGTTTCCAGATACAACAATCCTGAAAAGCTCCTGGAAATTAGACAAGGGCGTTGTGGTGAATGGGCTAATTGCTTTACACTTTGTTGTAGAGCAGTAGGATTTGAAGCAAGATACATTTGGGATGCAACAGGTATAGCTGTTTTAGAATACCTTATGTTAAAATCAGAACTGCAAAATGTTCCATAAGTACTCTGAAATTGTTAATCAATAATGCTGTTCAGGTGCCATTTTAATGACTTACAGTTTATAGTATTAGTGCAATCCTATTTATTTAAATCCCACTGAGTTTACAATTGTAACCTGCATCAGAATTGTTGTAGCCTCTTAAATTTTCGTGTATGAATACATTTATTATTACTAACACACACACTTATCATCTTGACTAAGAGAGTTTCTGAAATGAAAGAAATTATTTTGGAGACATAGGTAGACTCATAAATTTGGAATTGGGAAAGGCAAATAGTAAAAAAGCTTTTTCACCAAAAGATTAGACCTAGAAAGAAGCAGATAATTGGTCTATATTTGATAAGCAGTGTGTGATAATTAAGGGAGTTTGTTAGGAACTGGGGATATCCAATTTGAGGTTTCATCCACAGAACTTTCTGAGAACATTTTCTCAGCCCATTCTACTTGCAGGTTTATGGTTGAGGTTGAAAATCAGAAAGATGGAATTTTCTGAACCTGTGAGCCTACACACACACACACACACACACACACACACACACACACACACACACACGACTTATCAGATCACAGTAAGAAGTCTATAACCTGTAGCTTGAGGTGATGTTTCTTTAGTATTTACTTATTAAGGGGACTGTCCTCTGTGGCCCACTATTAAAAGAACCAAGAAGGTATTCATATTGTTGGAACTGTAGTTATAGAATCCTTGAGAAGGTATTCAAAGAAAATAACAAGCTTTTTATTTGCCGTAACTGTTATTTAGTCAGTCTGTTTATTTAGATGTCTTTTACTCTTTTTAAAAATCATCTAGCTAAAACAAATTTAGCAAAATAAACTTACCAATTTAGCAAAAAATACAATTGTATTAATTGTATTACATCTTGAAATCTATCAATGTATAGGGAAAGGAACAAAATGAGAAAGAGATTAATACTATAATTAATACCTTTATTTGTGTATTTGTCTAATCTCCTTTCTTAACAGTCTTAAGTCAGGAGTTATCACTACAGTTAGGCAATATCATCATGCTTTTTCTTTAAGTGATCTTGATAATGCAACATCGGGAGGGTATGTACTTAAATGAGCAAATAAAATTTAAATAAAGGACTGCAGGGTTGTAAAAAAAATCTCTCTTTGAGGAGTTCAGCATTCTAAAATTGACAATCTTTTTTAATGTTCGCTGCTTTTTTATCAGATCATGTATGGACTGAAGTTTATTCTGTATCACAGAAAAGATGGCTTCATTGCGACTGTTGTGAAAATGTCTGTGATAAACCCCTTTTGTATGAGATTGGATGGGGGAAAAAATTGTCCTATATTATTGCCTTTTCTAAAGAGGAGGTAGGTGAACCGTGTTTACTGAATTAAACAGATCTTCCAAGTAGCTCTGGCTGTTCTGATAAAGCAGTTGTATAACTGCACAGCAAGAAGGATATTATTTCTTCATTGGAATATTTCTAATCTTAACATGCTTGAAATTCAGTCTATTTTCTCTCTATCATATTGTAAAAGTATTTTCTTTCACAATTTGTGCTTTTCAGATTGTTGATGTCACC